AGGAAAAATTCCCACAGTCGAGGCCATGGACGAATTCAGCATAGATGGCCATTTCTGATAGGTTTTCGTCCAAAATCGTCGCCAAAATTCAGCAAAACTATAGGTTTCCAATAGTTTGGGGAACACGAGTCCCAACATAGAGCAGGTTCGTGTAGGAAACTTCATAGAGGAGGAAAGACTCATTTTGGCCCATAGGACACGGCCCTGCAGTTTGGCGGTTTAACCCTCCTGGGATATTTTGCGCAGGGAAAGTACTATGCCTTTACCTCAATACTATCAGGGCCGGATTTACCTACTTGCCGCCCATGGGCTGCCTTTATTTTGCCGCCCCTTCTCATCCGTTTTGAAACACCGATACAAACCATCAAGTGAACGTGCCGGAGGAGGAGGGGTGCATAGGACGCGTTTACTCGCGTTGGGCACATTTCTGGTGAAAGCCCTGTCAACACTAGCAAAAGTTCACGGAACTTAGCGCGAAAATTAAGTTCCATAAACCTATCTCTGTGTGGACGAGGCCTTTCATTTATAAGAAAAGAACGAAAAAAGTATGAGAGAATAACATGAATGTGGTTTAATATTTTTAATTTCCGCCACCGCGCCAACCGCGCAATGCGTTAAGTATCTCTACAGTCTTGTAGGCGCTATGCGTTTCACGCGCCGATCGCTGCTGACCGCACTACGTTTGACGCAGTGCGTGAAGTATTCATGGAGTCTTGTAGGCGCTAATATGTGTTTCATGCTGACCAGCGCGCCGAGGGCTTCTCCTTTCCATCTCAAGTCCTCGTCATCATTTCTCTCTGCGCCGCGCCGCTCCGGGCCAAATTGCGTGTTTGGATTCTCTCTCAACCTCTGTCTCTTATATCACCGAAAGACGAACAAATTAGAAATTACAATACTTTAACTCTCAGGAAATGAGAGATTTTTTCGCCTTTTCTCATTTGTAATTTTATTCTGAATCAGATTTTTTTCTTGATACCTACATTTGAAAAAATTACAACATTTGCCGCCCCCCTAAATTTGCCGCCATGGGCCGCGGCCCATGTGGCCACCCCGTTAATCCGGCCCTGAATACTATAACTTACTACTAGTACTATGTCTATGCTACTGTTCCATTGATTCTGAATTTGTTATCCAATTATGAGGCTCTTAGGGCCAAAAAGAAACAAACCCGGCTTTGAGGAATTTTCGAAGGAGTAATCTACTTAATAAAATTATGAATATATTCACCGTAAAAGTACAATTTAAGGCAAGAATCTTCATCAAACATCAGAACTCACATCAGAAGTTGAAAATTGAATATTCATTTCAACTCCACTTCCAACTCTGTTGCAATTTAATTTGTTACATTGGGCCCTAGGAGTCCATCGAAAGCCTCACTACTCTTACACCAATCACAGAGAGTAGCGCAAATTTTTCATACAGAAAGTACTGAGACGCCAATTTCATTCTCATCATACGGGGAGGTACTCTAATTGGGCCTTGGGGGCCCGACCCTGCCAGAATGCGATGGAGTTTCCAAACGGAGTGGATGACTTTGATATATTTAGGGGATTTTTTTTTTTTTTTTTTTTAAAAAAACCCAGAAAATAGAAATAAGAAAGAAAGCAATGCATTCGCAGCAAGGAGTTGTGGGTGGTAAGAATTTATTCAGAAGCTTTCGACTAACTTTGGCAAGCCAGTGGGATGCAGCGAAATCCGACTGGTTTGCGGTGTTGCCGCTTTGGGCAATGTTTACTTCTGTCACCGTCAAAACACTACCCACTCTCCGCTACCCGCTCGCCGCTCTCGTTTTTTTGTTGTTGTTTTGATCAGCACTAATCGAAATTGTTTTGCTGATTCTTTAACACCTGATTTCGCGCAATTTTTAATGGGTTTTTCCATTCTTTCCTTTGTAGAGGTTGAAATAATTGAACCAGCGTGAAAGTATATATTTACGTGCAAAAATATGAGGCTTGCAAGTACACAGTTTAAAACTGCGCAGTTCAGCGTGCCGATAGAGGTGTAAATATGACTCCATAGAGTGATTCAAAAAACGAAGTCGGGCAAGCGATTTTGTTCGATGGTCTCCTTACGGGTAGCTCAATGAAGAATCAGTCTCTCCAGAAAAATTGCCCGCCATTTGTTTTTGAAACCCAGATCAAATTTCAAAAATTCCAATTAAAACTTATGTAAATTGATACGAATTTAACGGAAAATAACTAAGTCGCATCAGGATCAAACCGAGTAACAGGGGTTTGAAGGTTTACTCCACCTCAAATCCAAAAGTAAGACATGAAGTTCAACGTGGCGCCCTTTCTTACCATCAAAATATTTTCCCTCGCCTTAAAGTCGCGGATGAGAGAAAACGTGCGGTTGGTTAAGCTCCAAACTCCAAACTACCCATAACTTAGTTTCCTCCAAAATTGGGACTTCATCCTGTATAATTCAGTACCAGTATCCCCTTGAGTCATCTCTCTGAAGGAGCGCGAAATGCAAAACATCTTCGGCGCCATCAGGTATTGTTAAGAATTTTCAGTGTTCCTCACCACCTTCTCTTTGTGAACTTCTCATTGAAAAATGTTCTTTGAATTTTAATCTTCGGAAGGCAACAGATATCATTTTTAAGCCGTTTAAATTTCCACTCATGGAGGGAGACATTTGCAAAAAATTCTGGCGATCCACCGAGGTAAAGCAATTTGAAGTTCCACTCTGGAAGAGTGGATTTGAGTTCCTCGGACCGGCGGACAACTGGGCAACGATGGGGTCCAGCTGGGCCGTGGCGACTGATAATGGGGCCTGCGGGGGTCGAGGGGCCCCACGGGGGGGTGGGGGGGAGGTCCGGGCAAGAGAGAGACAGAGCCGGAGAGAGGTAACCTTCGGCTCGGTAGTCGGTACCAGTCGGCGACTGACACGGGCGGCAGCACACTGCGCAGCACCATCACCATCACCGCGCCTCGCCAGTGCCACCGCTGCGCGCCGCGACGGCTGCCATCGGCCAACAGCCAACGCTCGCTCTGCCGACTCCCGACCCGCCACCGGCCGCCGAATTCCAACACCCAACGCTGCCGCCTCCAGGACTCGCTGGAAAAAGGATACCTGGATTCCGAGAGTGGACAGATCCGTGATCCCGAATATTCATCAGGCTCCCGTCTACGCCCTCGCCAATGAGGTTGGGGCCCAAAAGGGTTGCCGACCTACAGAGTGATACCTAAGTCCCGCACCATCTCGATAACTGGGACTCGAGCTTCTTTTCAGGGTGAACCTTTTAAAATGGGGAGGGGAGGGGATGGTCCCGAAAGTCGTTTCCTTTGACGTCAGGGGTAGTGGGTACTCACACAAAGTGGAGTCTCTACCTCAATGTTATCCAAAGTTACGGGAGCGATGCCTGGTGCTGGTGGTCTGAGACGTTTGGATCACCCTGTGTAACTTCAAATTTTTCGATAGCCGAAAGGCGCACTTTTTTGAACCTAATCTGGGATTTGGTTGAAAATTAGATACTCGATTCTGATTGGTCTAAATTTCAACGGTGGTACCACCATGTTGGTGGACATTTATTAAAAAAATTAATCAAAAACAAGTCACAAAAAGTCGCCGAAGCTCGGGTGAAATTCACCAGTGCCGAACTGATTCAACAGTGGCGCCATCAACCGAGGGGTTTTCGTTTTCCCTCGTCAAAGGACTACCGTGTAATGTTTTGGTCATTGAGTTCTTGCGTGCAGTGGGAGCTTTTGATCTCACCATATGATTGCATATTCTGTAAAATTATGTGAGAACACACGATGATGCCACTTGTTTTCTCTGTAGTCGAGCTACAGCTCCAAAACGCTCTACGACTTGGAGGTTTGAATTGAGGGGCGTATATTTTTTTCATTTTTAAGGCTCCTTTGAAAGATGAACGGACTTGCACAATCACAGGAGCATTGCAACAGACCTAGGTCCCATCGACCAAATAACTTTAATACATACTGTTGGGAATAACTGAAGAAACAAAGCAGGGACCGATACATGCAAAAATCGCCAGATCGCTCTCATTACAAGAACCACAAGTGGCGCTATCTGGTATAAGAACTTTCACTACAGACAGAGAGACCCTCCTCTAACATCTTGGAGATAGGGGGTAAGTGGTATACATTCGGGGATTCACCACGTCCTTGACGTACACAATGCAATAAACCAACAAGCCAACATCCAGCATCCAGCCGTAGCAGGAGCATCCAGCAGCGTCTAGTTTTCCGCAATCCCGTAATTAAACCGGACGAAGGACAATCATGAGGCAGCAGCTTTTTTTTCGGCTGTTGACCTACCTGCTAGATGGATGATGAGCTTCGGGTGATGTTATGAGCAAACAAGTTTACCAAACTTTGGTTTGTTTGCAAAACGAAATACTCACCACGTTGTTAAACGAGCACCTAGTAGGCAAGTCAACAGTTGAGTCCTAAAAGTAAAAGCTTCTACCATTGTCAATTAAAATACCAATGAGGGGTCTTTTCTTACCTCTGACTTTCACACAAGGAAAACGAGGGAGGCACGTATTTAGAGACTGCCAATTTACAGGGCGCTGGTCCATTCCGGTATTGTTTCCACGAGAAAATTGGATCATTCCGCACGATT